GAACTCATCCTTTGGACTAACTCTGAATGTAATCCTGCCTTAAAGGTAACGCAGTGTGGCAAGATCTCATGCTGGCATCTGGTTCTCTGTCTTTATTTTACTGGAGACAGGCATCACATGACTTCATCGCATGCTCGGGATGCTGGAGCCAACGGCTTTCGGCCGGAGCATCACTTTCTCCACCATGCTTAGGTTACTGATACCCCCGCCACGCCTCCCCATCCCATGCTCCCTGAAACCTTTATACGAGAGCATCACCACCATCTTCCTTCTTGTCAAATGTCCCAGGAACACAGCAGCTGCTGCTCTGTCCCTTCCTTAGGCCTCCCGCTCACCCTAAGCTGACCTTGGCACCACTCGATAGGGCAGGATTCTGGTTCTCATCATATGGCCCATGTTTCAGCCACTGTAAGTTGTCATCGCTGTCGGTCTCCACCCTCCCTGCCAGTTACATAAGAGGCCACATCCACATCTCCTCCCCAGCACAGGCTTTTATTAAACAGACACCGTGTGCGAGGCCAAGTGGGCAAGAGGTCCATCCGGAACCATGTCCCTTGGGAGGGTCAGGGACTGTCTCTGGGTCTTGGCTTCCGGAATGACTCAGCTCAGCCCTCTCTGGCTGCATCTGTAGCCTTCAGGACCAAGGACGACATGTTATGTTTTCAGCTCGGTAGGAGCAAAAGAGCAACAGTCCTTTCAAAATAAGAATTCCCTTGCTGTTTGCTTCCTTTTGGAACACAATAAGAACAGACTGAGGACACGACTCGAAGCTGTCAACGCTTCCTCCTAGCTTCCTCCTCGCTTCCACCGCGCCTTTCCTTTGCCAGGAAAAAAAATAAAATAAAGCTGCTGAAGTGAAGCAAGGGCTTAGCGAATAGTCAAAGTAATTGTTTAGCGTGGACATAAGGCCCAAGGTAAACAGATGATTGCCGAAACAGGGGGCCAGGAGGAACGGCTCTACCAGGACACCACTTGTTCTGACCTGAGGGGAAAAGCCCAGGGGCCTCGGCTTGCCTGAGGATTCCCTCACTCAGTTATTTCTCTTCTCACCAGCATTCCTAAGCAATTCAGCATCAGAGGGAGCAGGAAGAAAGCAAGCTAACTTTCCATATAGATAAATATGTGCTTTCAGTGTCCAGTTTGTTTTTATTCAGATTCATGTTGAAGACTTTCTAAGATGTGTGCTGCCTCTTGCCTTCCTAGTGTTCTCAACATGGCTTAATTCTCTCCAAAAACAATCATTTACTACATCTACGGGCTGTCAATGGGTTTAGGAGTCATCAGGTTCTCAGACTGTAACTGTATCTGTGCACAACATAAGCCCGGAAGCTGACTGTGTCTGGTAGGTTATTGTTGGTCATCATTCCTGTTGATGATTTCTATTCTGTTTTGTGTTTAGGTGTCTTCTATAGAAACTTGTTTGCTGTTGTCTCTTTCCCTAAAGGTGGGGGTCCATCATGAAAATTCTGCTTACCTGAGAACTCAAATAAGTTAATGACAAACCCCATCAGTTCTGCTGAGTGATATTTCTAGTAATCGTTTTCCATTCCAGGCTTGAAAGGAATAAATAAATATCTTGTTGACCCAGAGTAGAAGTTAGTATCTTATTCTTACTACCATTCTCACTGAAATTCTCTTTGACTAAACATCTATTTGACTGAATTCTGGGCTTGCTGAGATGATGGATTCCCCTGTATTCAGTCTGCAGGAATTATGATGGCTACGTACCTGATTCATCATCATATAGGAATCAGAACATACATTAGGCAAGGAAAGGCAAGTGTTTAATAGTTCGTGCAGTTTTTAATACAAATAATATAAGAAAGACGTCAAGAACATGGACTCAAAATCAGCTCTGAGCTTAAGTGCAAATTCTTACAACCTTTATTAAGTTTGGACATGTCAAATTTCCACTGACCTTCATTTCCTCAGCCACAAAATGTTCTAATGACCACACAATAATAATGATGATGAATAATAATACCTACCTCAAGTTGATAAAAACTGATAATGGCACAATGCATATAAAATGCTCAGCCCAGCCTATGTAACCAATAAATGTTGGCCATATTATTTTCACATATCGTAATGTCCTCACAATAAATTTTGTAAAGGGGGCAAAGTTCCTGTAATTCTGTAAGTTCCATGATATAAAACTGGACTTCAAAAGCACTTATAGACTTATCTGGTGTAGTTCACTATTCCAACATGCTGGTCCTACCAATACGGGGATCCCCTAATTCCTAGTGTGTGTCCCCTCTACCTCTGCTATGCAATGCTCTCCCCCGTTTCCTTAAATCTAAAGTCTTCCATGGCAGGGCGTCTCTGTACCTCACACCCGTGGATGGACAACAGAAATGCAAGGCTTTAAAACCAACATCAATGTCACACAGAAAATTTTTCTCAGAAAATTCTGAGAAAATGGTACCCTCATAGCTACAAAGTCAAAAGCAATTCTTTGAATACTGAAAGAAAATATTAAGAGGGAGGTGAATTCAAATAGCAAGGCTAAAACCTCTGAGGAAAGCTCAAGGTATGACAAAGCCCAAAGTTCAACAAAGCCACAGACCCAAACAGCTCCAAAGGAACACCTACAGCCTCACCTGCTGCCTTGGGGTTACTACTGCTGCAGCAAAACACCGTGACCAAAATACTGGTCATCACTGAAGGAATTCATGATAGGAAATCAAACAGGGCAGGAACATAGAGCGCAGGAGCTGATGAAGAGGCCATGGAGGGACTCTGCTTACTGGCTTGTTTCCCATGGCTTGCTCAGCCTGCTTTCTTGTAGAACCTGGGACCAGCAGCCCAGGGATGGCACCACCCACAATGGGCTGAGCCCTCCTCCATTAACCACAAATTAAGAAAATGCCTTACAGCTAGATCTTATGGAGCGTTTTCTCAATTGACATTCCTTCCTTTCAGATAACTCTAGTTTGTGTATCAAGCTGACAGAAGATTAGCCAGAACACCTATGCATGGATTTTTTAAATTAAAATATAATTATGTCCTTTTCCTCTTTCCATTTTCTCCCTCCAGCTCTTCCCATGCACTTTGTCTGGTTCTGTCTTGAGTTTTCTATTTCTTTAACTGTTGTTTTACACACACACACACACACACACACACACACACACACACACTCCTAAATCTATAAACACAACTTTCATAATCCACATAATGTTGTTTGCATGTATGATCTCAAGGCTGATTTCTGGGCAATGGAGAACCAATTCACAGACTCTTCCCTAGGGAAGATGATTTCTTCTCTCTCAGCATCCCTTAGTTGCTTATGGTTCTTTGTCTAGTGTTGAGGCCTGGGACGATCCCCCCTTCAGTGTATGAGCACACCCATTTGTGTCATCCCTCTTCAGGCCTTGTTTAGGCGGACATGTTGATGAGACTTCTGTGTGTAGGTTCTCTGACATTTTTAGGAGATGAAATCTCTCTACAAAATCTTGTTCCTCTGGCTCTTACAATCTTTCCATCTCTTCTTCTATGATCCCCAAACCCTCCTAGTTGCAGGAGCTGTGTTCTACAGATATATCAGTTGGGTTGGTCACCACATGGCCATTTGTTCTCTGTATTTTTTTTGTGGTTTAGATTTTTAACTGTGTCTGTCACGCATAAGACACTAACATAAAGCACAAAGCAGAGAACATTCCAAGCGTGCATGCCTGCGCTTTACAACCCCCACTTCCTCCTGGAGAGGAATCTTCACCTGGTCAGTTGCAGGGGTAGCGGTGGGTAGAGCTCTCACTGGGGTCTGGCTAACCTCAAAGATTAGAGAGTGAAGGGGACTAGCCCTCCTCCCTGCTCCCAGGCTGAGGCTCCTGTGAAGTCTGGGAAAAGTGGCTTATGGAGAGTGTCCCATTGTTCCTGGCACTGATTCTTAACCTTCCTAATGCTGCGACTCTTTAATACATTTTCTCATGTTATGGTGACACCCAACCGTACGGTTATTCCCCTGCTACTTCATAACAGCAATTTTGCCACTGTTATGAATCATGATGTAAATATCTGTGTTTTCCGATGGTCCAAAGGGTTCACAACCCACAGATTGAGAGCCATTGTTCTAGAACCTTCCCTGACTCAGTTCTTCTGGAAATACATTCCTGAACATGCATTTCTGTATCATCTTGGAGTCCACATGATATATAATAATTGGTGCAACAATCACTTAGTGTCTAGCAAGCACTAAAAAGTACACAAAGTTCAGTGGAGAAATGTACATGCCCTGCTTTGCAGGAGTCTGGAAGAAGGCAGGCCAACAGTCACTGCCAAGTAACCAGGGTTTTAGATACTCAGTCAGATGCTTCCCAAGATAACACAGGTAGCAAGTGTCCAAACTAAGATTCTCCAGGGTCTGTTTTATTCTCAGGTCCACTATGTCCCCTCAATGTGCTTTCCTCCCTGGGCTGGGAAGGCAGGGCATAAACACCAAACAGAGAGGAAGCACTAGAAGCCACTAAAAGAAGCTGAAAAGAGATCAGTATGGAAAACACTTCAGATTACCATGAGAACAAGAGTAGGGAGGAGTCTAAAATACCTAGTGCTGAGATGACAGGTTTTAATGTTCACCAATGGCACAAGCTAGGGGCAAAGAAGGTGGACACCATCAGAAAATAATACCCTGGGTGGTTAAATCCACTAAGGGAGGTGCTACAACCCCAGAACACCATCCATCCTCCAGGTTCAGCTACTTCATCTCTCCAGCCCCGGAGAGCATAAAATGATGGTGAAAACTTGGTTGAAATTTTCACAGGCCAGGTAAATACAAGAGAGTGATGGCTGACTCGGTGTAGTCTCGGCAGATTCGTTATACACGGCAGTAATTAAGCACCCCGTTCCCACCCAACACTCTCTTCAGCGGGATAAGAAGGGGTGGCTTTTAACATCCTGTGTTGGTTCCGCTGACATAACTGGTTAGGAGAATTTGCGGAGGAAAAGTGAATATACTTGGCAACTTCTTCAAACATTTGTTTGGATCTTCTGTTTCCTAGGAGATGTCCGACTAAGGGGTCAGACCGGGGTTCCTGCCGAACGCCGCGGCTCCTACCCATTCATTGACTTCCGTCTACTTAACAGTGAGTAACCAAGTGTACCTGGAAAGGAGTAAATGTTTTCTTGGAGGGGGGACCTACCTCATTTCCCTTGAACTTCAAAACCCTGCAAGGTCTGCCTTCCTTCCTCACATGGGAAGGAACTCTGAGAGCTGCCCAAGTCTCTCCCATCAGCACTGAAAAGAAGCCGACATCTTTTAATACCAGCACTAAGGAGGCAGAGACAGGAGGTTCCCTGTTCATTGGAGGCCAGCCTGGTTTACACAGTGACTTCCGGGACAGCCAGGGCTATGTAGAAAGACCGTCTCAAAAGAAAGGAGAGGAAAAAGAAAAGGTTAAAGAAAGAGGAAAAGAAACGCAGCCCTTCACAGCTATGACCTTTGCCCAAGTGCTCTTGTCTTCCAGCACACGCTCTCCAACTGAAGCCAGGGCCGGGCTAGAGGAAGTGCTATTTAGTTTCTTAAATTTCACAGGTATCTCTTAGAACACCTTCCCCATGCATGGTTCTCTCTTCTTATTCTCCTGTAAACCCTATTTTGACTCCTTAGTGACCCTTCATTAAAGGGGAGTCCTTCCCATCCACACTGCGGCTTCCTTCCCCCGTGATGAACTTGGTAGCACATTCCCACTTCTCCTTCCATTGTTATTTAATCTTACATTCCTTAGGAAATTCTAACCGGTGATAAGTCATGTCTCTAGATTTTTGTATCTTCTATCATGGTGACCTTTCACCTCGGACTTGTGGTGGATGGAAGGAGCTGCCAATAATAGATTTCACGATTTGCCCCAAGGTTTTTGGTTCTCACATCCTCACTCGTCTATAAATTTCAAAGTGCTGGATGGCATCCACAAAGTATTGCTTTCCTTTGACATAAACAAGCCCCACACAGGCGGTAATTTGATTTGCCTCAACCCCTGGAAATGACTAGGAAAATTTAGACTTTGCTGTTTCTGATCCTTAGATTGGTGAAAGGCCAGAAGAAGACGGACATGTTTGCGTTTCTCTTACCATGGTTCTGTGCCTGCTTCTTCAGCTCTTCCCAGGGCGTAGAGACAGAATAACTTTTTCTATACTAGAATCAAACACCCCCCAACACTTTTTAAAACTCAGCACTCCGACACCTCTGGGCCAATGCAACATTGGATGCAACCTGTGGGAGCTAGACCAATGCAACACTGAATGCAACCTGTAGGAAATAGGTCAATGCAACACTGAATGCAACCTGTAGGAGCTAGGCCAATGCAACACTGAATGCAGTCTACGGGAGCTTGGATGGTACCTCTGAACTCTCCTTATGACCCCACACTGGCTGTCCTAATTCCCCATAGAAGATACACTGCTGGCAGTCTTCTGACTGTCTAAATGTCTGGGTCACCAGGCAGAAGGTCCCACAAAGCAGGCATTATTCATCTACACAAGAATTCTCCAATGGAGTCCCAGGGAGAAAATTACCAAAAACCCTCTTTCCAACAATAGAGAGATGTTATTTCATGGTTTCTAATATAATCGATGAACAAATGAGGACACTAGGAGTTAGGTCTTCATAAGGCCAAGGTTCTAAATGATTCTTAATTCAACCCCAATGCTCCTGAGCATCGCTGCTAATTGCGACAGTCTTTGTAGTGGAATATGGAATAGTTAACTGACTCTACCAAAGGTCTCTGCATATAAAAAATCGATCTTTAAAAATCATTTGCTTTTCTTCTTAATCTGAAGTGTGTGTGTGTGTGTGTGTGTGTGTGTGTGTGTGTGTGTGTAGACTGCAGATAGCCATCATTCCTATGTAGCAATATTATTTGAAAGAACATCTTTAAGTGGCTGCCACCCTCTGACCCTCTGCAGGAGACCCTCAAGGAGCTTCCTGGTGCCTGGGCCCTGATGCCTGGGTCCCGCTGGTGTCCCCAGGTCCTTTCTGATCTCCACTTCTGTTTCTCTGCACCTGTTACTCAGAAATAGCCACTCCTCTAGTAAAAATATTGGCCACCCACCCTGAAATTCCCTTTCCATTCTCCTTAGGACTCTGTTCTAGATAATTCTCTCACTCCTTTCTCTTTTTATATGATATACTTAGACAGTCCTCATTTTTCCTCACTATATTTGGTTTTTAAGTGGCCTCAGTATCCTAGACGTATAAGATATGTCCCTAAATAAACTACAAATGTCCTAAACTCAACAACTCTTTATAGTTATTAGCTGCATAGTTAACTTACCAATTACATTAAGTATTCCTCTGAAAGAGGCTGTATTAAATAGCCATAAATGCAAGCCATCACTGCCTTTAACTGGGCAGCACAGCGTATCTGAAGAACTGAGAGGTTTGTACTTATTTGTGATGCAATCCACACCTGTCTATAATGCCTGCATGCCGGGAGTCAGAGCCTGAATCACAGCCATGGCTGTGATCCTTTTGTAGCTTCCTAACTTGGCAACCACAGCAGCTTGTCCCCAGGTGGGGACAGGTATATGGGCAGCCCTGTAAAATCCAGTCACATAAAGTATATTATATGCATCACATCTCCACTCTGTAGTCTATTTAATTCTCTTTCTTCATGTCTTCCTTGAGGTTTGTCTGTGTAGTTAAAGATGTGTTTTGTGCCTAACGAGAAGCATTTTAAAACATTGTGGAAGTTCCTCCTAAAACTTTAATCGTACCCACCAATCCTACACAAAAACTGGCAAATTGGTTTAACATATTCTTTTGTAATATATGCTTTATATGCATGTGCGTATATGTTTGCTTGTGTGCAAGTGTGTGTGTGTGTGTGTGTGTGTGTGTGTGTGTGTGTGTGTGTGTGTGTGTGTAGACTGGAGGTCAGCGTTGGATGTCAATCTCAACTGCTCCCTATGCTGTATTTTTAGGTAATGTCTTTCATTTATATTCCCCCCACCCCTCACTTACTAATCAGGGTGCCTAGCCAATGAGCCCTGGGAGCCCTCCTGTCTCTGCCTCTTCTGTGTTGGGATGATTGGCAGGTACTACTGTCCCTGGATTTTTTTAGGGGTGCTATGGATCATACTCAGGACCTGGCACTTGGAGGGGTAAAGACAGGTAGATCTCTGTGAGTTCAAAGCCAGTCTGTTCTCCATAGGGACTTCCAAGCCTGTCAGGACTACACAGTGAGAACTTACTTCAAATAAATAAATAAATAAATAAATAAAGACAGAGTCCGCCTCTCATGCATAGCAAGCACTTCAGTCACTGAGCCATTTCCTTGGGCCCTTGCAATACTTATTTTGCATCCATTTTTTCTCCCAAGAGAGATGCAGACTTATCACCATTTTACTCAAATGATTGTAGCTTTGCTTTCTCTCCTGAGACAGAATCTGATATAAGGCTTAAAAATAAATCATTTATAAATTTAAACTTAAAAGCAAATCCATTGTAGGAAAAAACAAATCACTAAAGCTCCTATTCCTAGTCCCACAAAACTGCCATTCCATACCCACAATGCTCCTGGCTGCTTCTCATTTACCACCTACTTCAATACCTGCCTTAAAACTCTGGCCTGTGCATAAGGAATAAAATGTGTATTGAATGGGAGGCCCACTGCAGTCCCGGGTTGTTTATTAGTCACAACTCCAGCCGGTCATAGCAGACAGAAGACATCAGAATTAATACCTACAATAAGTTGTCTTCCATCAGAATGGTATTTGTGGATATTACAACATCACTAGGACAGGAGTGGTAAATGGCAGCCAGTGCACCAAATGTGTCCCCCTGCCTCTTTTGGTAAATACAGTCTTGTTGGAATGCTGACATTACCGTTTTCTGATAGGCCATCTAGGGCTGCTGTGATACAAAATGGGCCGGGCAGCTACAGCAATGTCCAAGTGAGCCACAAAGCCAAACTTACCTGCTGCTGGGGCCTTGATAGGAAAAAGTCACCACCCCCTATTTTAGATACCTTTATGCAGATTTAGAACGGTTTTATGACTCAGTAAACTCATTCAATCCAGGCCATTTTCCTTCATTGTTGTCATTTTCTTTTCACTTTCAAGAATCATCCTTTTATTTTAAGAACGAGCTTAACATTGACTAAGTTTACACACACCAGGAGCAGAAAGAGAAAGCAAACTTCCTTATTGACCTAGGCATAAAACTCTAATTTAAAATAATTATTCTTAATTATACACACATTTTTCTGAGGAAAAAAAAGCCCTTTCCATGCACAGGAAGAAAGTCACAGTGTTTCCTTACCCACAGTCCCATTACCTACAAAGGAAGGTGGTTAACACCTGATTTGTCTCTCATGGTACTAATTTTCAATTTTTTTTGGTCCAGCTTCCTTAATAATTACAGTATCTTCCCTTTTGTTCTGGTTTGAAGAATAAATTTCAGACCAGTCAACTGTAAATGTTTGTCCACTCAAACAAGACATATAAGAATAAGTTCAAGGGCTAACAAGCTGGCTCAGTGGATAGGAGCCCTGGCTGCTCTCCTGGAGAAGTGGGTTTGATTCCCAGCACTCACCTGATGGCACATCAACCTACCATCTGTGACCCCAGCCCCAGGGGATCTAACGCTCTCTTCTGGCCTTTGCAGTCACCAGGCAGACATCTGGAGCACAGATATGCTAGCAGGCAAAACTCCCATACATATAAAATAAAAACAAAGATTCTAAGAAAGGAGCTTAAGAAGTGCAATACAGTGACTGCAGTTAAGAACAAATGTATCAGAATGGGTAAGTTGGCTCAGTGGCTAAGAGTACATACTTCATCCTAGCTGTAGGCAGCTACTAGGTTTCCATGTACCTAGGCAAGTGTTACACTGCTTGGAGAACAGCAGCCAATAGCTGGTTGGCATTCTGGACCTGGTTCATGCCAACTGTTGTTGTTATCTATACCAGGATGCCCTCATAGCTTGAAAAAAAAAAAGAGTACATACTGCTCAGAGGACTCAGGACCCATGTCAGGAAGCTGACAATCACTTCTAACTCCAACTCCAGGCGATCCAGCGCCATCTTCTGGATTCCACAGGCACCTGTACTTTCGTGCACATACACACACCATTAAAACTAAAAAT